GAAGGAAGGAAGGAAGGAAGGAAGGAAGGAAGGAAGGAAGGAAGGAAGGAAGGAAGGAAGGAAGGAAGGAAGGAAGAGAGAGCAAGAGAGAGAAAGAAGAGCCAGGTCAAGGCCAACAAAACCTCTGAACAGGTTACAGTGTGTTTAAAACATACTTAGGTGCTAAAGAAAGAAAAAGAAAATGGGAATAGACAATCATAGAAAGAGAAATAAAGTTTAAAAATAATAAAGTCTTTAAAGAAAGAGAAAAGTGATATAAAAAGAATAAGCAACATGAGGATGAAAAATACATAGGGATGTCTGGATCCTGCAGGGCGCACTGTTGACTTTCAATTTTTAAAATGCTAATGTATAAAAAAACGATAGCTGCTAAAAGGCATTGGATTGTGGAAACTGCTAAATTAAACCAACCTATATATTTTAACAACATCTTAACTTCAAAATGAAGTAAAAAAATATGTTGCATTGGGTTATGCCTTTGTTTCCACAGGAAACAAAAAGTTATGGTTCTCTTCAAAATTAATGAAGATAAAATCTGATTGGGAGAGATCTCCCGAAAATCTTGACTATAAACATTAAAAAATAAACAAAAAAACAAGACTACATGAGAGATGTCATATATGCTGATCCCTCTCCTATGGGAAGAAACTGGATGAAACTTTGATGAAACTGGAGAAACATGATAAATCTAGTTGGCTACAGAATCCTCCTATCTTATTATTACATTCCAGCCTTTGTAGTGATATTTTGTTTGTACTTTAACAAATAAATCTTGCCTGAAAATCAGAGTGCGGAGCTAGCCACTAGAAGCCAGGCAATGTTGGCACACACCTTTAATCCTAGCACTTGGGAGGAAGAAACTGGAAGTGATATGGCTGGGCAGAGAGAGGAAGAGTGATAAGGCGAGGTGGAGACAGGAGCTCAACACTTTCAGGCTGAGGATTCAGTAGAGGTAAGAAGTGTCTCTAGTGGCTGGCTCCTTGACTGATCTTTCAGCATTTACCCCATATATCTGGCTCCAGGTTTTTATTACTAAAACCAATTAGGATTCGTGTCTATGGCATGGATAGAGATTTGGTTATATAGTCCAAGCAGACTTATAAAGCCTTTGACCTACTCAAACATAAAAACAAAAAATCCTCTTTAGCTGACTTTACATACCATAATTCAATACTTGTGTTAATACAGATATATGTTACCTTTAAAAGTTTATGTGTTTTCAGAAAAAAAAGACCAGATACCAAAAAAGACAAGTAGCCTAGGTGATCCAGCCTCTCAGAATGCCTCTGTTGCAGTTTCCTCAAAATTCTGCATCCAGAACAACTTCAAAGCTGCTAACTGACATGGTCTAGCCACACAGACTGTCCAGCCAAGACTTCAGAAAAGCTCTACACTTTCCCATCACACAGAGACTAAACAAAAAATAATACAGCTAGCTCTCCCAGTACTTGATCATTACCCCAATTTTCATAGGATCCCCTAAAGATGCCGACACCCTGAGATAACAGGAAGCAATCTAGAGAATATGGCACTCACATTCTCAAGAAGAGGGGTGGATGGTTTTTGGTTGTTCAATGATTATGGATATTTATCATCATTTAAGGGGGTTGGTTACAAGTTGTTGGTCATGATCAGGGAAAAAACAGAACAAAGAAGATTAGATTCAGGGATCTCTTTCTAAAAGAAAAAGGGGAAATACAGTATAGAAATGATGGAATAAAAGGGTAGATTGTTGAGTCTACTTTCGAACAACCATTAGTTTCAAGTATTTTACATGGGTATGGATTTTTATATACTGACACAAATTTAAGGTTTTTTTTTATGCTGTATGTTATGTTTCTACTCTTGTTTAAGGTTTTGTACCTATGCAGCTCACTTAAAAATGTAAAGTTCTAGTCCTTAAAGCCATTATTATAAATCATTTAGGATAATTAAGAAATGCAGGTTAGTAGTTAGTCATCCATAACAATCAAACTTGCAGTCATGTTAGGTATGTCTTCAAGGTCATACATAAGATATATAAGATATATTTGTGATAGAGTGATAGTCTTCAAACACTTCACACACCTACAGAATATGGCATTTATGTTTTAATTAAATAAGGTTTTTTCATGACAGTGAGACACATCTGCTCCTGGCAGCACCAATTTACTTCAAGAAAAGATGATGGGCATCAAAGATATGGAGTTTGCTTTATGTCAAAGCTAGTCATTTGGGCAAGAAACTGCCCTTGCTTCAACTACTGACAGTATGCTGTCCAAACTGGACTAGCACGACACAGAAGAAAGCAACTGTCAAACTTTGAAAAGATAAGGTAGGACAGTCCTTCAAAATTCCTGCTTTACAGAAAAATCTGTCAGATATTCTAGACCTGTAGGCTGAAGATGGATGCCCAATGTTACAGAAGAACCTTGGGTGACTGTTCAGGAAGCCAGATGTCTCTGTCATTTCTATAGTTTTGGAAGTTACTTGCTCTGCACTTCCTTTTGACTCAGGTAATATTATATCCTTCTCCAGTCTTTGATGGGGTTAAAGACTAGATACTTACAGTTACAGCTTTGTTACCAGATTCAAAAAAGAAAAAACAGAAAACTCACAAAAGAGATGTAAAGGGCATAAGGTTGAGAGACATAAAAAGATAGTTTTGTGTTGGTAATACAAGTTAGCATAGAAAGTAAATTAGGTACAAAACTTTTGACTCACCAAGACAGAATAAATAATAGAATATTTTCTCTGAATTTGCCAAATACAGATAGACTGGATGTTGTAAATGTAATTCTTACCTAATAATTGTTATTTTTTGTTTGTTTGTTTTGTTTTTCCAGAGAGAGTTTCTCTGTGTAGCTCTGCGCCTTTCCTGGAATTCACTTGATAGCCCAGGCTGGCCTTGAACTCACAGAGATCCGCCTGGCTCTGCCTCCGGAGTGCTGGGATTAAAGGCGTGTGCCACCACTACCCAGCCTGATAATTGTTCTTATTGTAAATAGTTTTTTTACTGTGTTAAGTATTAAAACCTTCCCTTTTTTATATAGACAAAATAGGAATGTTGTGGGATACATGTACACTGTGAAGATGTATTCCTGTGATTGGTGTAATAAAAAGCTGAACAGCCAATAGCTAGGCAGGAGACTTCTGGGACTTCCAGGCAGAGAGAGAACACTGGGAAGAAGACAGAGACACCAGCCAGATGGAGAAGAAGGAGGATGAGTACAGAATAAAGGTAACTGAGCCATGTAAAAGAACATAGATTGTAGATTAAAAGATATGGGTTAATTTAAGTTATAAGAACTAGTTAGGGGGACTGGAGAGACGGCTCAGTGGTTAAGAGCTCTTCCAGAAGACCTGGACTCAATACCCAGTACCCACATAGTAGCTCACAGTTGTCTGTAACTCCAAGAACTGACACCCTCACACAGACAAATGTGCACATAAAATAAAAATTAATTAAAAAAAAACTAGTTAGAAACAAGTGTAAGCTAAGGCTGAGATTTCATAATTAATAATAAGTCTCCAAGTGGGTTTTTTTTTTTTTTGGTGAGCTGGTGGCCCAAAGAAAAATCCATCTACAGTCCACACATGTGCTGTGATAATTATGAGTTATTTTAATTTATACTATATACACATATGAAAACTATGTACAATATATGATTCTACTTGGATGAAATTCCTAGAATCCCTAGAAATTAACGAAGGTTTTTTTGTTTGTTTGTTTGTTTTTTTAAGAAATCTAAGAGCTTTCTTTCTGATATGCTGATAGATTGTGTGTCATTTCCTTCAATCTAGAATATCAGTAGGCTTAACTACATCAATACGGAATTCTCCTTCAACAGCCAAAATCTTATGTGGCTTTTCTTAGAAAAAATTAAATGCTAGATACAGTAGAGAAGACAATTATATGAGTTGAAGGATGTTTTCTAAAAATGGGACTCAAATAAATAGCTATATCATAGATAATTAGAACACAGGGAATTAAAGACACATCCTATATCTGCCATTATCACTGTGAGTGAAGCCATGTAAAAGAGCTTTGTAAACAGCACCTAGTACTGCCCAAAGTATCGTGGTCTCACATGGTGCCTCTAGAGCAGTGGTTCTCAACCTCCCTAATGCTGAGACCCTTTAATACAATTCCTCATGTTGTGGTGACTCTCAACCATAAAATTATTTTCATTGCTACTTCATAACTGTAACTTTGCTAGTTATGAACCATAATGTAAGTATCTGTGTTTAAGATGGTCTTAATATGGTCTTAGGTGACCCCTGTGAAAGGGTTAATCAACAACCCCAAGGGTTTAAAACTCAGGAGTTGAGAACCACTGTTTTATATGGATTCTCCACTTTCAGCAACACAGACACAATCCCTCCACTCACCAATCAGCAGAATATGTATATAAACTGTATAGAAAGAGATAAGCTATAATCCAGGGTTTGAAGGCAGCTTTTTCTACTCAGCCTGAATAGGATGTGTCATTAACTCTGGGTCCATCAGAAGAACCACGTACCAAATGTTCCTCAACAAGTTTGTGGTAGATTCTGTGTAGGGGAGGGCACAGGATACAGCTGTCTGAGTATAAGCTTCCAATGCAAAGTCTAGTAAGTGAGCTCACAAACCTTAAAACCATTTCACCAATGTTTTTTCCTTTAGATCCGTCCAACAGAACACAGGCATTTTTAAAGGTGTGGTTTAGGTGTAATTTACATACCACACAATTCATCCACTGTATACTCACAAAATTTATATTCATTTAGCTATGTAACTATTACCAAAATTTAAGAACAAACATTTCTATGACCCTATAAAAAAAAAACCATTTAGGCTTATTCCCAATCAATCCCCATTCTAATACCAGGCCACAATAATCACTAATCTGCTATCTCTCTAAGTATACATCATCTAAGTAGTTCATCTTAGTAGAATCACATGTGTATTAAATTATTTTTATGTGTATATAACACATACTGACGAGATTAATCATTTTGAAGCATGACTTTTATTGTGTTAAGGTTACAATGCAGTGTAACCATCACCACTGTCCACATCCAGAATTTATTTTATAACCCTAAGCTGGAAACTCATTAAACAATAACCACCTATTTCCACTATCCCCTAGGAAACTCTATCTGACCTTGTCTCTGAATTTTTCCTATTCTAGCTATTTTCAATATAAGGAACCACACAGTATTTTTGGTCTAATTTAAAAACTGACATCATTTCACTGTAAGAATTATTTAAGTTAGGCACAGCAGTACATACCTTGTAATCTCTAAACCTGGGAGGTGGAGGCAGAAAGACCAAGCACTCAGAGTCATCCTCTCCTACATAGCATGTCTGAAGTCAGCCTAGGCTACCTGTGTTAAAAGGCAAACACATTTCTAAAAATCTTATATATTTTGGATACAACTCCTTTAAAAGATACTTCATTTGCAAATATTTTCCCTCAGTTTGTACCTATCTTTCCGTTTTCTTAATGTCTTTTAATGCTGAGCTTTATATGTTAACATTAATATTGTGTGGTCATTCTCAATTACAGGATACAACAGTTTAAAATGTGTACTTTTTTTGCGTATTGGTGTTTTGCCTATATGTATGTCTGTGTGAGGGTGCCAAATCCCCTGGAACTGAAGTTACAGACAGCTGTGAGCCACCATGTGGTTGTGGCAAACTGAACCTGGGTCCTCTGGAACAGCAGCCAGTGCTCTTAACCTCTGAGTCATCTCTCTAGCCCAAGAATGTGTACTTTTAATCTTACAATAAGCTAAAGTTATGCTTCAAATTTTGAAAGCTAGCTGCATTACTTTTCAGAAAACACTTTTACTATTCCTTTACAAGTAACATTGTCTATTTTTCTCAGGGGCCTCCCTCTTCATTTTTCACTTAGGACCTATCACCACCTAGTGGACTGAGTAGGAATACACCAATGCATCACCACAGTGGCTCACCACTTCCGTTTCAGAACAAACCACTCGATGGAGTCTTCAGAATCAGAGAAGAGCTCCTGTATCTAAAAAATGCAGTTGGATAATTGTAACCACACAAAATACAAATATTTATACAAATAACAGATGCCATGTACTCAAGATAATGCATTGATTAAAGAAAAACAAAAATCTTTTGTAGGAAGCATGGCACTGGTGTTACAATAAGCTTTGGCTCCCAAAGATTAACCTAACAAAATAAATTTACCAAGCTTAATTCAACAAGATATGAAATTTATAACGCCTCATGACTACATGAAATATTTCCCCCAAGGTTATATGGCTCATTCAATTTTCAAACTCCAAACCACATCAACAAAGCATACATCAAGATGCATAAATTGTATTAAAACACTTGGACATTGTTCATAATAAAAGTCCTACCAGCTGGGCGGTGGTGGCGCATGCCTTTAATTCCAACATTCAGGAGGCAGAGACGGGTGGACCTCTGAGTTCGAGGCCAGCCTGCCTGGTCTATAGAGAGAGTTCTAGGACAACCAGGGCTACACAGAGGAACCCTATCTCGAAAAGAAAAAAAAAAAAAAAAGGTGTGGTGGCACATGCTTGCAATCATAGCATTTAGAAGGCTGATAAGAGGACTGTAAATTCCAAAGGAGTCCAGACGACACAGTGAGAGATTCTTTCTCCAAAAACTGAAAATGGGTCTAGACATGCCGTTGCACACCTTTAATCTCAGCACTTGGGAAGAAATGGCAGAAAGGCCATCCTGGTCTACATAGCAAGTTCTGGCCAGTTAAGGCTAGAGACCTTATTTCAACACAAAAAAATTTACTACAGATCTACAGCCATAAAAGCAAAGTAGCTATGACACTAGGGGCTAGGATTGTGGCTCAGTGGAAAAGTACTTACCTAATATAAGTAAATACATGAGTTCAAACCTCAGTAACACACACACACACACACACACACACACACACACACACACACACACACACAGAGTATGCTATAGACATGAAAACAGTCTGGACAATAGAATTTCTAATATCTGTATTTGTTCAAATATTTGTATGTGTAGTTTTTTTCTTTACTGCTGGGGATCAAACCCAGAGCCTTGTACATGCTAGGCAAGACCAAATAAGTTTTTGACAACTTTTTCTGAATTCCATAGGGAAAGAACACACAACTGGAAAAACAATGTCCATATAAAAAAATAAGTTACATGTTATCTCGTACCACACGCACAAATTAACATCAAATATGTAATACAAAGAAAAATTATAAAACTTTTAGAAGAAAACAGAGAAAGCTCATCTTGAATACCACCTGAGTAGACCGAAAAGCTTTTAGGAAATCGGTAAAGTACATCTTCAGGTGTGTCTGTGAGTATTTCTATGGAGGATTAACTGGGGGATGGAGGGGGAGAGGGAGAACTATTCTGAATGAGGGCACCAACACCAAATAGGTTAGGTGCTTAGATGGAATAATAGAGGAAAACTGGAAAAAATACTCGTAACTGAGGTACTGACTCTTTGCTTCATAGCTACAGTGAAGTAATAAGCTAATTAAATCTTTCCTCCTTGCTCAGTATTTGTCAGAGTGACAAAAAGTATGACTATCACAAAAAGTAAATACAGAAGAAGTGGGGTCACTGCTATCATGTGGCTCTTATGCCTTTGGAACTGGCTTGCAAGAGGAACAAACATCCAAGAGTCTGAAAAAGCTAACCAGACAGTGGTTCTGGCAGGAACTCAGAATTCTTATGTCAATAAAAATATAAAATGGTGATTCTGGTATTGAAAACAATACAGCATATATACACACACATATGTAACAATAATTGAAGAAAAAGAGGCCATACATTTGGAAAAGAGTGAGAAGTGGTACTTGGGAGGACTTGGAGGAAGGGAAAAAGAAGGGGTACATATAATCTCAAAAAATTGAAAGATTACATAGAATTAAAAAAAAGAAAACAAAACAGCAGTTACTCAAAAATGAAAAAGATAATTATCACATGGTTCAAAATTTCCACTTCTGGTTATCAATCCAAAAGAATTTAAAACAGGAACTCAGAAATACACGCTTGTACACCAATGTTCATAACAAGATTATTCACAATAGCTCAAAGTTGAACAAAACCAAACATCTATTAACTTGTGAATAAATAAATAAAATATGGTTTATACATACAAAATAACATTATCCAGCCTTAAAGAATAAATGAATTTTAATATATCATACAACAAAGCTGTAGAATATTAATTATTTTTTAACTATTTAACGATGTGTTACATTTGTTTATGCTGTGGAAAATTACTTTAACTGTGTAAAGGTGTGTTACATTTTTTTTCTGCTACCTTTGTTAAGAATGTAAAGGTGAGTTACATTTAATTTTGTAAAGATGTGTTGCATTTGTTTCACCTTGCTTGCCTAAAGCACATGACTGGTCTAATAAAGAGCTGAACAACCAATAGCTAGGCAGAGAAAGGATAGGAGAGGCTGGTAGGTAGAGAAAATAAGTAGGAGGAGAAATCTAGGAGAGAGAGAGGAAGAAAGAAAGGGACGTGCCTGGGGCCAAAAGCCAGGCAGCCACCAGCCAGCCAGACACTAGAAGCAGGAAGGTAGGACATACAGAAAGAAAGAAAGATAAAAAGCCCCAAGGCAAAATGTAAATAGAGATAAACAGATTAAAATAAGAGCTAAGATAAAGCTGAGCATTCCTAATAAGTCTCTGTGTCATGATTTGGAGCTGGTTGGTGGCCTCCTGCTACAGATAAATCTGGAGAGCATTATGTTAAGTGAAATGTCAGTCACAAAAGGACAAACACTATGAATCCACTAATAGGGGTATCTATAAGGGGTAAAGTTCATGGATACAAAAAGAACTTATTACAAAATTGTAGTAATTAAAACACTGTGGAACTGAAGTAACAACATATAGACCAAAAGAATAGCATGCCCACACATACATAGCCATTCTGCTCAATTTGTAGATTGACAAGTCCTAGAAGATATGGGAAGTTACTACTAATATAGTCTGAATTTCAGTTCTAAATAAGATGAGTTCTGTAGATGGATGCTGATGATATTGATTACATACACTGATGTGAATGTAATCTATACTACTGAATTGCATACTTGAAAGTACTGAAAGTAAATGTCACCTGTTTTCTATTACAAACTAAAAAAATAAAGGGAGAGCCATGCCCTGGAGAGATAGCTCAGTGGGAGAAAGCAACTGCCACATAATTTGAGGACCTAAATTCAAATAATAAGAACCTATGTGAATGAAAGCCAGATCTGTGGCATCTGTAATCCTGATGCCACTATAGGGAGATAGAAGGCCAAAAAAGGAGACTTTCCAGAAGCTCACAGGCTAGCTAGTCTGACATATGTAGTAGAAAAATAACAGAGACCCTGGTCTCAAACAAGGCAGACAATGAGGACTGACAAAAGAGGTGGGCTGCTGACTTACACATGCACACAATTTACCAAATAGATACCCACATGTGCATGTTCACACACACATACACACATGCAAAGGAGAGCCAGACATGGTAATAGGTGCCAAAAATTCCAGAACTAAAGAGGCAGAGGCAGTACAGTTTATGAGCTTGAGGCCAGGCTGAGCTGAGCTACATGGCATGCTATAGGCTACCAGGAGCTATACAAAAAAACCTGGTATCAATTACACACATGTACAAGCACACAATCAAAAAAAAAAATTTAAAATGAAAAATGTAAGAAAAAGACCTGACAATTAACATTATATTTGATCATGGTCCACGTAAGATTAAGAACAAGACAAGAATATCACTGCTATCTCTTCAACCTACCATGATACTAGAAATCTTAGTACAGTACGAAAAATAAACCAACACCATAAACATCAAAAAGGAAAACATATGGCTGTCTTTATTCATAGTTGTGCACACAAAAGTCCCAACAGATTTGTTTAGGTGACTAGCAGAGCTAGTAACAAATTCAATATAAACTCAATACACAAAATCAATTGCATTTCTTTACACTAGCAACAAACAATTAGCAAATAAACTTTAAAACCAGTTTGATTCATAATAGCATTAAAATTTAGAATAAGAATAATTTTAAAGAAAAGCAGTTATCAACATTAATCAATTTAAAACATTAATGAGAAAAAGTGAAGATACTACACTAAGGAGAAAGACAAACTAAATCCAAGGATTAGAAGCCCTGCTATTATTAAGATGACAATTTGAGCCAGGTACTGAATGCAGTGACAGAGCACTTTGCCTCACAGGTGAGTTTACCCAGCACTGAAAAGAAGAAAGACTATTCTTCTGTGCAATTCAATTAAAAAAAAAAACAAAAACAACTCAGTAATTTTAAAATTTGATTGTAAACTTTATATGAAATAATGGGTGTTAACAGCTTAGATGCAAGATTGTAAAACATCAGTAGCAACTTCTGCCCTCCGGGGTTCTCCCATTTTGCTTTAAGCCTGAATTTAAGACCTCCTCCCTCCTTCAATAAATGGCATTTGGCATTAAAAAAAGAAAACCTGCCGGGCGGTGGTGGCACACGCCTTTAATCCCAGCACTCGGGAGGCAGAGCCAGGTGGATCTCTGTGAGTTCGAGGCCAGCCTGGGCTACCAAGTGAGTTCCAGGAAAGGCGCAAAGCTACACAGAGAAACCCTGCCTCGAAAAAAACAAAACAAAAGAAAAAAGAAAAAAAGAAAACAGTCATGTAAAGATGGGAAATACACAGAGTGTTTGGATCCTGTATGGTGCTTTGTTGGCTTTGAATTTTTTTAATGCTAATAAACAAAAAACAATTAAAAAATTTGATTGTAAACTTTATATGGAATTGTTTTTTGAAAGGGGGAAAATAACTAAGCCAAAATAACTTGGGAAAGAAAGAATGGAGGTGATTTTTTTATTATAAAACCACAAAATTCAGGACATAGTGGCTTTGGTGAGAAGATTCAAAAGGATTAATGAAAAAGAATACAAGAACCCACAGACTCATACATTTTTTTAAAGAAAATCTCCAAACTATTCACTGAGGAAGGACTTTGACAAATAACACTAGAAGAAACAAATTTTCATAGGAAAAAGACTTTGATTCCTACTTTATAAACATGCCAAAATTGCGGACATGAATGTAGGCTTAAAAAAAAAAATCTTAGTTTCTAAAAGAATTTGGAACTTGGTTAAACTAAGATTTTTTCTTTTTTAGTGAAGATATAAGAATCAATAAGAAAAGATTTCAAAAACCACATTTCACAAAATAATGACAAGTTGTATTCATTATAAAACATGTTAAAAATGAAAAAGAAGAGACGGGCAGTAGTGGTGGCGGTGGCGGCGGCGGCAGCGCACGCCTTTAATCCTAGCACTTGGGGGACAGAGGCAGGTGGATCTCTGTGAGTTCCAGGCCAGCCTGGTCTACAGAGCGAGATCTAGGACAGGCACCAAAACAACACAGAGAAATCCTGTCTCAAAAACAAAAAACAAAAAACAAAACAAACAAACAACAACAACAACAAAAAAAAAAAACATGAAAAAAGAAAATCACAGACCAGGAAGAAATATTCATACTAAATATATCATATGATATATCCAGAATATAAAAATACCAACAATTCAAAAAGTAGACAAAGAACTTAATGTTTTTAATGTTCAAGACTTGAACCATTTAAAAAGATGATATATGAATAGCCAGTAAGTGTATGATATACTTACCAACATAACTGGCCATTGAGGAAATTCCGATTAAAAACATTCATTCTGTCCCATTACAGTGCTCACTAGACTTACAAAAATTAAAACCCTGACAATATCAATCACTTGCCAACATATGAAACAGGAATTTACATGCTACTAGAACTATAAAAATGTAAAAACATTTTGGAAAACTGGCAACTCTATAAAAATTTTAATGTGTATCTACCATATACACCACCAATTCCTAATATGCTTTAGCAGATCAGTGTACATGTATGTATACAAAATTTTGTGTAAGAAATTTTATAGCTGCTTTATCTGTAATAAACTAGAAACAGCCCAGGTGTCAATGGATGAATTATCTGTGATACTGTCAGTGGAATATTACTCAGCAATAAAAAGAAATAAACTATTAACACTTGCATCATTAATTACTATAAAATATTGGGCTGAAAAGGCACAAGAGAACAAATGTTCTTTGTGAACATAGGAAGCTATGCATATGAGATTGTAGAATAAGAAGTAAGAAGTTAAGTTTTAGGGATTGAGTAATAGATTAAAAGGGAATTTTAAAGAACTACAATGGTTAAAACACTTGTGAAAACTGCTTGGATTTACATTTTCAGATAGGAGCATTTCCTTGTATGAAAATTTCATACTTCAATTTTAAAAAGATCAAGGACTTTGGGATCACATAGAGCAGCTCCACCACTTACCAGGTGTGTGACCTTGGCCAAGTGTTAAACTGTCAGTCTCCCCATCTGCAAAAAGAAAGAGACAGAGTTGAGAAAAGCTTCACAGAGCTGCTAGGAAAAATAAACAAGATAAGACTTTAATGATATAAAACACTAAATGCTCAATACATATGAACAAAGAAGTTGTTAGAAATATTATTTCCAAATTTCAGCCAAGGAAAAAGAAGCAGGAATAACTAGTGGGTAAATGCTGTAAATAACTAGTGGGTAATTCACATATACTACATTATTGATTTGGTTACAAAGATACCTAGCAGGAGTTGTTACAGTTTTATGGATGACGAAACCAGGCTTCACTGGTACTAGCAAACTTCCACTTTTTTGTTTGTTTTTGATACAGGGTCTCCTGTATTTCAGGCTGGCTTGGAATTGACTATGCATCCCAAGATAATCTTGAACTACTGATTCTCATGCCTCTAACTTCCAAATTCTGGGATTATAGTTTATATATTTTCTACTGTACGATGCATGCCAATAGGGTCACTTTTTGTAATTAATCCTGCAATTGCCAGTACAACCCAGGTCATTTTAAAAGCTCTGAATGCTCCATTTATTTATTTATTCATTTTTTTAAAGGTTTATTTGAGACAGGGTTTCTCTGTGTAGCTTTGGAGCCTGTCTTGGAACTCACTCTGTAGACCAGGCTGGCCTTGAACTCACAGAGATCCTCCTGTGTGTTCTGCCTCCTGAGTGCTGGGATTAAAGGCGTGCGCCAACACCACCCGGCTCATTCAGTCATTCAGTCATTGATTTACTTTGATCCAGGATCTTACTGTGTGGCCCTCACTGGCCTAGCACTAACTATCTAGACCAGGTTGGCCTTGGTATCACAGAGCCACCACACACTGTTGGGATTCAAGATGTCAACTGCCAACAAGGCCAACCTCCATTGATTCTTTCCGGTACTAGCTCAAGCCTCCTGACAAAAAAGAAGGCCAATTCTGAGGACTTGATTAAAAAATAGAAGTGGGTTTATAAGTAGACACTGCAAGACATTATTCTTTTTTTTTTTTTTTTAAAGATTTATTTATTATAGGCCAGGCTGTGGTGGGGCATGCCTTTAATCCCAGCACTTAGGAGGGAGAGCCAGGAAGATCTCTGTGAGTTAGAGGCCAGCCTGGTCTACAAAGTGAGTTCCAGGAAAGGTGCAAAACTACACAGAAAAACCCTGTCTCAAAAAACAAAAAAAAAACAAAAAAAAATTATTTATTATGTATACAGTGTTCTGCCTGCATGTATGCCTGCAGGCCAGAAGAGGGCACCAGATCTCATTACGGATGGTTGTGAGCAATCATGTGGGTGCTGAGAACTGAACTCAGGTTGACATTGCTGCTGCTGTTGTTGCTGTTATAGAAGAGGCAGCCACCGCTGCTACTGTTTCTGGGATTACCATTTCATAATTGCTTACTACAGCTAGCATAATGGAGACCCTGGCAGCAAAAGTAGCTACCACAGTTAATTAATCTTCCATTCTATTGGGTATGATAAATTTAATTCACTAGTTATATACATTTCAATTGGTTTTGAAAATTATAAATTTATAAACTCAAGTTCCATTTGCTTTTGGGATACCATCTTACAAGGACTCCAGTTTGCAGTAAGGCTCATTAAGGAAGGGAATGGCTCAATTGCCTTTAGCCTACTGGCTATGGGTGGGTTAGGACTTCTGTTGGTCTTTTCTGTGTTGAACACACAGATTGCAAGCCCAGCGCCACTTTGAGATCTTTGGCAGCAGTTAACTCTGCAGCTCACACATGATTGAGCCTGTATGATTATAAGTATTCAAAGACGGATAATGCCTGGGGGGCGCTCACCAACCTAAGACAGAGTGCCTGTGTGGCCTGGGCAGACGTCTCCATGACGGGTAAGATGACCTACTGATGTCCCACACAACCTAAGTCAGAAGCTCATTTATTAGTAAATGGGGGACCTGTAGGGCCATTGCTCCCATTTTGGGTAACTGTTGCCTTGCTTGCTGACCCTGACCTTGATATCCTCCCTATGCTAATTCCCTCCCGGGTTCCACCCTCCTGAATGCTTAAGGGAAGTTCCTTGTCTGTGTATCCTGCATAATGGGTGTTAAGAGCTTAGATGCAAGATTGTAAAACATGATAGCAAACTTCGGCCCTCTGGGGTTCTCCCATTGTGCTGTAAGCCTGTATTTAAGACCTCCTCCCAGCCAGAGGTGGTGGTGGTAGTGGTGGTGCACGCTTTTAATCCCAGCACTCGGGAGGCAGAGCCAGGTGGAACCCTATCTCGAAAAAACAACAACAACAATAATAATAATAATAAATAAAATTCTGTTTACATAGTGTGCATGCACATGTTAAGGTGTGCATGTGTAGGTCAAAGGACAACCTGAGGGAGTTGGTTCTCTTCTTCCACCATGTAGGTTACAGACACTGAACTCAGATAGCCAGGTCTGGCAGCAAGCCAGTTTACCTGTCTGAGCCATCTCACTGACCTATTCTAGGTTCTTAGAGAGTCCCCTCGGCATAGCAATTTCAATATAAGGGAATTCTGGTCTTGCACAATGGCTGACCCATGTAGTTCCAGCACTTAGGAGGCTAAGGTTAATCAAGTTAAAGGCAGCCTTGACAGTATAGGATTTCCAGATTATTCTAGGTTACACAAGATCCTTTCTCAAAAAATAAGAAAAAAATAAGAACAAAATTAATAAAACCTGGGGGAAAGGAGGGGTAAGCATGAAGGCATATAATTTGAATATGAAACCTGTGCTCTAAGTGGGAAGCTAGAACTAAGGCTTGATCTAGCAGAACAGTTTCAAATATTTGTCAGCTGAAAAGAGAGTAAATTTATTCCATTTGTCTTAATCATGCAAGACTTTTACCTCAGAGTTAAAGTTGCTAAGTGGGTGTGGGAGTGCACCCCTGTAAACATAGCACCTAGAAGGCAGATGGACAGACCACTCTGAGTTAAGAGGCCAGTGTGATTTTCAAAGTGAAAAAAACAAAAAAAGAAGAGAAAAATTCTCATGCATTCTGATACCAAGGTTTTGAATTCAAAGAACCATTTTCAGCTTTTTTTAAAGTATGAGGTACTGCTAGGTGGCAGTGGTGAACACCTTTAATCCCAGCATTCAGGAGGCAGAGCCAGGAGGATCTCTGTGAGTTCAAGGCCAGCCTAGTCTACAGAGCAAGATCCAGGACAGGCACCAAAGCTACACAGAGAAACCCTGTCTCGAAAAACCAAAAGAAAAAAGTATGAGGTGTTAATATTCTGATCTGTCCTTGAAATCCCACCCTGTCCTGGCATAAAAGCCTCATTCTAAGGAAAAACTCCTCCCCTTCCCAGCTCTTCCCAGTTTTCCTTCCACAAGATGCGCACCCTCAACCCCTCTCTCTCTCTCTGTCTCTCTTTCCTATCTCTCTATTATAATAAACTTTCCATGTGGATGCATGTTTACCTGCATGCACAGGATACCCTCGGATTCTCCCCCCCCCCCCAATAATTCATCACATAAGGGCCAAAAGGATGGCTCAGTGGGTAAAAGCATGAAAATGATCCCTGGAACCCACGTAAAGCCAGAAGGAAATAATCAACTCCACAGAGTTGTCCTCTGACCTTCACACACTTGCTTTGGCAGATGTACCACTGCATCACACACAGACACACACACACAGTTTGTCACAACACTGCTTCCACAGAAAAAAATGATTGCTACAATCTAACCTCAGATTTTTTTTTTGCATTCCTTCTTAGTCATCCATTTCAAATTTCTAGATTTAAGTATTTTACCATTCCCTGCTAAATGTCACCCCACCAGATGACAGACATCCATGACTATCCAAGAACTGAACAAATATCTTTTCATCAATTGTAAACAAGTGCTAAACTCTTGGCTCCACAGAGAATGCCTACAAGTCAGTATAAACTCTGAAATAGGGGCAGAGATCAAGGGAATAGGAGTTCAGTCTATGCTCTCAATCACATTCCACCCCCACCTTGTTCAAAAGAATCCTTATCAGAAAGTACTTCCTAACAAAAGGCCTGACCCAGCAATGATGCAGCATGTTGAACTGGAGCTTTAGAAGCACAGGGAAAGTACTACTGCCATGAACCACCAATCACTGCACGAACGCTGTGGAGGAGACACTTGTAAATGTATATTAATTTGCTTCAGGAAAGAACCTGTCTCATAAAGGACATAAACAGTTCTGAACCTGAGCTATTTGAGGACCTAATTCCACAATGAATTCTTCCAATTTGTGTCCAAAATCATCCTATAATGCAAAAGATGCTCAAATGACATTTTAAAAAAAGCCTATTCTTTCACATACAAAAAAAAAAAACATCATAGCTGGGTGTGGTAGCTTTGATCTCAGCACTAGGGAAGTAGGAAGGTAGAAGCAGGCAGATCTCTGTGAGTTTGAGGTCAGCCTGGTCTACAAAAGTGAGTTTGAGGAGAGCCAAGGCTGTTACACAGAGAAACCCTGTCTCAAACACACACACACACACACACACACACACACACACACACAGAGAAAACAACAATTATCATATATATTATAAATCATTATACTGAGCTGGGAATGGTAGTACACGCCTTTAACCTCAACACTCAGACAGAAGCAGGCACATCTTTGAGTTCAAGGTCAGCCTGGCCTACAAAATGAGTTCTAAACCAGCCAGAGCTTCAAACTGAGACCCTCTCTTAAAAAAGAAAAAAGAAAGAAAACTACCTTTAACTCATTATATATACATATAAAACACATATACATGGATACACACACACAAAAAATATACAAACTTTATTTCTTTTTTTTTTTTTTTTTGGTTTTTCGAGACAGGGTTTCTCTGTGTAGCTTTGCGCCTTTCCTGGAGCTCACTCGGTAGCCCAGGCTGGCCTCGAACTCACAGAGATCCGCCTGGCTCTGCCTCCCGAGTGCTGGGATTAAAGGCGTGCACCACCAACGCCCGGCCAAACTTTATTTCTTATTGTATGTATAATGAGAGGACACAAGCCTTCCACCCTGTCTCAAAAT